GGCGGTTGCAGGGCAGGGGAGCTGCCTCAGGCCTGTGTGCGCGCGCGGAGCCTAACGCCTGCGCTGGGATGAGCTGAGGGCACGTCCGGTGTCTCCTGGGAGGCCGCGGCGGCCATGGCCTCCATCCTGGACGAGTACGAAGATTCGCTGTCCCGCTCGGCCGCCCAGCCGCAGAGCCGCGCCAGCGTGGGCATCCCGCACTCCGGTAAGGGGGCTGGGGCCGCTTGTCGGCTGTGCAGTGCGGGCCGCTGGAGCAAGAGCACTCGTCCACTGCTGGCTCGCGAGGCTAGTGTAGCCGTGACCGTTCACCGTGTACCTGGTCACACATGCACACCCTTAGTCAGGACTGTTTCTCGGGACACACTGGCTATTTGTCATTACTACTTCATGTTGAGGCAGTTGCAAGGAAATGAATCTTGCATTAGGTTTAGCAAATGGAAGTCTTGCAGATATCTTCCGAAAAGAAAATGTGAAGATGTAGACAGTAGTTTTGGAATCACAAATATCATTTGTATACTCAGCCTGTGAGCAGAAATGTTCCAGTGCATCACTTCTTCTCGGAGATACTCCATTGTGAATAGATACAGCTTGACTTGAACTTGGTTTGATAATGGAGCTGTTTACAGGGAAGAAGGATGCCAGTTTGAAATCGTTTCATTGCATCTGAAATTTAGGCTACATTGAACCTCTATTTAGAGTGAAATTATTCTTTGGGTTGGAAGATGAGATACCACTATGTTGTACAAATGCACATGTTTTTGTGGTAAAAAAAAGATAATGTGAAATGGTTTCAAAATTATGAGTTTGGGGTGAATGTTATCCATTGCTTCTTCATTCATCCTTGCCAGAGGATGTTATGAAGGCCAGGACTTTAACAGGGTTCAAAAAAGAGCTATATAAGCTCATGGAGGGTAGGTCCATCAATAACTATTAGCCCGTGGCGAGTAGATTGCAACCCGGAAGAGCCGGGTTTGGGCGATCTGCGCATGCACAGAACGATCTGCGCATGTGCAGATCACCGGACAGTGCGGCTGGCGAGCAGGGCTTACCGCAATTCGACGAGCCCTGAATATAACTATACAATAACTATGTGATGGTGTTATGCCAACTATGCAATATGAATGAGGAGTAACTTGCTAGAGGGGCAATTATGTAGTACATCTCTTATTAATCAGACCAGTTAATCATGAGTTTCACATGTGCGCTTTCTTCTACTGTCACCATGGCTTATCTCCGCTGTGTGGTGGATCAATGTGATAAATCGATCTGAGTGCTCTCCCATTGATGCCAGTACTCTGCCAGGATGAGAAGAGTAGCTGGAGTTGATGGGAGAGCAGACCCCCTGACCTTACTGTGTGGTAGACGCTGCGGTGAGTAGTTGACTTCAGCTATGCAAATAGCATAGCTGAAGTTGCATAGGGTAGATCAACAAGTGATGTGTGTGTTAGTGTCACCAAGGAGATGAATAAGATAATGCACCCAGTTGGCTTTAAAAGGGCTGTGAGACAATGTGAGATACAACATTAGTGCTGGCCACTTTGCAAAGTGTGCATTTCTCTGTTGAGCTGGAGAGAGAGAATTGTAAAGGCACAAGATTCTGAAGGCATAAGTTCCTCGGTCACCACTTCAGTTGAATCCTAGTCTATCACAAGATTTTCAGTATCATCTGGAACTGCTAGGCAAGCAGGGTTGTATGGTATATATCCATGGGAAAAGTTTGATTATACCAGGTTGTGTGTAAACTGAAAGGGATAAAAAGAGAGAACAAATTGAACACAATCCCTTCTAGGACTGTAACAGTGTAACCATTTGAACAGTTAACCAATAAGCATGAGCTTATCAGCAGTGTCTAGCCAGTGAGGGTGCTGAGAGCCATTGAACCAACAGTAAAGCCTGTATGTAATGGAAATCACTTCAGGTCAGGGGATGCTGCAGCAGCAGCACCCATAGTTCCAGCACCTGTGCCTGTCATCTGCCCTATAGGTTGCTACCGCTGGTGTGCAGCTGCCCTCTCTTTTGGCACCACAGCAACCTCTGGTGGGTGAAAGGCATAAGTGCAGCACCTGTCCCAGACAACGAATTTTTTGCAGGGGGCATGAATTCTGCACATACAGAATTGTAAAGAATTCCTCCAGGAGTAGCCTTGTGTACCTTTTAAGTCCTTTTGCACATGAAGAATTTCCCAGGCTAACTGCACTACATGACTATAATTGTCCTAGAAATCTCTGTGGAGCCAGTGGTATTCCATCCTTGGAGGGAGGCCAGTGTAAATGTCACCTAGGGGAAAAAACCCAGAAATGACCAGTCCTTTCTTATCTAGCTTGAGTGGCCTGGTGACTCTGTTAGAGGAATGCAGTATTCTTTGGTCAAGAGGTTACCTGCCACCTTTGGTGAGATGGGAAATTCAGTCAGAGGAGAAACTTGAATCACAGGACACACATGGAGAGGACTTTGATACCACCAGTTTTTTGACATGTGTCCCCGGATTATATTAATGAGTATCATTCATATTTCATTCCATGTGACTGTCCCATTATGACTTTACAGTTCAGTGGCAGAGTTTAGTTGTTCTTTGGATTTTGGCTAGAGTATTTCCACCATGGTTAGCTTGTGGAGGTAGCTGTCCTAATTTAGGCATGGAAGCTGTACACTTCTAGGCCAGGGTTGGGCAATAATTTTTGTAGGGGAGTCACTTCTCTAACATTGGTAGTGGTCATGGGCCAGAACCAGAAGGGATGGTTCCTTTTAGGCACTATCTGTGGGGGAGGAGACTTTGTGTGCTGCCCTGTGGGGGCAGGGAGCACGCAAGGTGTGTCTCTTCCCCCCACCACCCCACCCAGTCAGGGTGCGTGACACCTAGAGGGAATCGCCAGCCATTTTGAACAGCTGGTGGTTCCCTCTTATGCTGCGCGCCCTTGGCTAGGGATGTTAAATTTAGATTGATTAACTAATCAAATAGTTGATGGGATTTCCATTGACTATTTGATTAGTCTATAAAGGTGCCTCAGCCTTTGAAATGTAGCAAGAGCCCTGCTGGGAGCATGGGACTAGTGGGTTACCCTCTGGCCCTGTGCTTCCTGCAGTGCCTGAGCCTTTGAAATGTACAAGAGCAATAGCCAGGTTCTTGTACATTTCAAAGGCAGAATCCAAGCAGAAGTGGCACAAGCAAAGACTGCTTCAGTCCCTGCTTGAGCCGCTTCCGCTGTGAGTCTATCTCCCCTGTTCCCTGCAGAGATGGTTCTGGGGGGAACCAGCTTTAAGCCGGCTCCCTCCAGCACTGGTTCCTGCTCTCCCTCCCCGCCCCCGGCTGCCTCTCTCTGATAGAGGCAGTGAGGGGGAAGCAACTAGTTGCATCATGTCCAATAAGCTGCTGCTTATTGGGTAGTCAACTAGTCTCTTACATCCCTATCCCTGGCGTAGGGAGGAGAATTGGCGTTCTCCCTCTGCCTCTGAGTCTCAATTGGCCTGGAGATGGGGATGTGGCAGGTTGGGCTGTGGGCCGGATGAAACTGCTTGCCGGGCTGAATCTTACCCACCTTGTTCTAGGCTGTCCTAAGCTCTAAATTGAGCTCCATTCGGCTTCAGAAAAATGAAACCTATCATGTCATTCTTTCGTGTGTGTATTTCCCATAACCCTCCTCCCTTTGCTGTTTTAGTGCTTGGCCTTCTCTTGAGGTCACTGCACTTGCTTTAAAACTTGAAAAGCTTTTATAAACTGTAACTATAAACTTGTTTTGAACTAGTTTCTGTAGCAGAATACATTGGTATGCTGCCTATGTAAATCTCTCTCCTCCCACACACTATCTAGACCTCCCTGTTTATTAATCTGCTGTCATCTAAAACTTGTGGCTCCCAAGCAAGCAAGGTCAGTGGCCCCCCGCCATGTACACAGAGACTTTAAAAGTAAATAGTTGAATAGTGTGGTTCCAGTTTAGATCAGCATTGTGCGAGTTACTGCTTTCTATTCACCCTCTATTACTAGTTTCAGGGGTGTATGAAATGAGTTTCAAGTTGAGCTTCAAGCTTCAGCAGACTTAAAATGTAATGTTACATGTGACCACATTTGCCAGGTTTAAACCCTAAATCTTAAATTGACCTAGCTTTACTTGAATTTCAATCTAGGTTTGCCAAGAGATCCAGGAACTTTAGATCACAGTGGCTTAAATTTTCAGTTTGTAATGAAATTGGAAACTAGTTAGATCTACTTTTGGCTTTTTGGTCAGGGCACTGATTTTAGTACTTGCCAGACTCGAGTGCTAGTCTTAGCATTAGCGACGAGGAGTCCTGTGGCACCTTATAGACTAACTGAAGTGTAGGAGCATAAGCTTTCGTGGGCAAAGACCCACTTCGTCAGATGCATGTAGTGGAAATTTCCAGAGGCAGGAATAAATATGCAGGCCAGGATCAGGCTGGAGATGACCAGGTGGATCCAATCAAGGAGGATGAGGCCCACTTCTAGCAGCTGATCTGGAGGTGTGAATTCCAAGAGAACAGAAGCTGCTTTTGTAGTTAGCAAGCCATTCACAGTCTTTGTTTAATCCAGAGTTGATTGTGTCAAACTTAAAGATGAACTGTAGCTCAGCAGTTTCTCTTTGAAGTCTGGTCCTGAAGTTTTTTTGCTGCAGGATGGCTACTTAGCATTGCCACTGACAACCTGTGTGACCTCACTCAATTCACTGGACCCCATGGCTCATTTTCTCTTAGGGATATAAAATACCGTTTAATTGATTAACTGGTTTAACCTGCCCTGCCACAGTCAGGGGCTGCTCCAGCCCATCAGAAGAAGCCCCTGCTTGTGGGGCTGCTCTGGATGAATAGAGCAGCTCCTGTTCATGGTGGGCTCCTCATGGGGCTGGAGCAATGCAGGGGAGAGCTGCTCCAGCCCCCATCTGTTAACTGCAACCTTTCACGTCCCTAGTTTCTGCCAAATTGTCTGTAAAATTGGAGGTATGGTACTTGTTTGTCTTAATTATCAAGTGCTATGATCATTGTGAATGTAAAATATTATATAAGTATTATGAATCTTGTCCACTGATCT